CCGGGAAGATCCCACGTGCCGTGGAGCGGCTGGGCCCGTGAGCCATGGCCGCTGGGCCTGCACGTGTGGAGGCTGTGCTCCACAACGGGAGAGGTCACAACAGTGAGAGGCCCGCGTACCGCAAAAAAATAATAATAAAAATAAAAATAAAAATAATAAATAAATAAAAACATATGCAGGGAATTTCCTGGTTGTCCAGTGGTTAGGACTCGGCGCTTTCACTGTCATGGGCCCGGGGTTCGATCCCTGGTCAGGGAACTAAGATCCCACAAGCCATGAGGCCAAAAATCAACAACAACAACATATGTATACACACACACAAGGATTTTGTTTGTTTTTATTTACACACGCTTTTTTTTACCCAAATTAATTGACGTGCAGACTGGGGTCTCTGGGATTGAGAGCTAGTGCCTTTTTTTTCCTCTTTTCATTACATTTGCATTACTCCCCTCTCCCTCCCAGGTTCTCTTTTTCATTCTCTCTCTCTCTCTGTCTCTCTCTCTCTCTGTCTCTCTCTCTCTCTGTCTCTCTCTCTCTCTGTCTCTCTCTCTCTCGCTCTCGCACACACACACACACACACACACACGGAGGGGAAGTAAGCATTGAGAGTCGTCTACAGAAATGGCATCATTTCTTACACTTCTGCATTTTTTTCCCACTCAATGTCTTGTATTGAGCCTTCTAAGTCAATTGACATAGATCTAATTAACTCATTCATCACTTCATATTCCATGTCCTTTTTAAAAAAATAGGTTGTTTCTCTTTTCTAATTTGTAAGAGTTCTGTATTATAGACATTAACTGCCATCACATTACAAATATTTTTCTTTAGATCTATTTTTTGTCCATTGACTTTATTAATGGTATCTTTGGCTATACAAAGATAAAACATTTATGAGGTTGAGATGTTATCTTTCCTTTCAAAGCATCTGGATTTCTTATCTTATTGATTCACCTTTTATGTAAATGTGTTCTTTTTCTTTTTTTTTAATTTTTAAAATTTTTATTTTTGGCTGTGTTGGGTCTTCGTTGCTGCGCGCGGGATTTCTCTGGTTGCGGGCGAGCGGGGGCTACTCTTCATTGCCGTGTGCAGGCTTCTCACTGCAGAAGCTTCTCTTGTTGCAGAGCACGGACTCTAGGCGCGCGGGCTTCAGTAGTTGTGGCATGCGGGCTCAGTAGTTGTGGCACGCGAGTTCTAGAGCACAGGCTCAGTAGTTGTGGCGCACGGGCTTAGTTGCTCCACGGCATGTGGGATCTTCCCGGACCAGGGATTGAACCCGTGTCCCTACATTGGCAGGTGGATTCTTAACCACTGGGCCACCAGGGAAGTTCTGCGCCCCTCCCCCCTCGCTCCGCTTTATAAGGAAACCAATCATATTGGATTATGGATTAGGGCCCACCCATAAGACCTCATTTTAACTTAATTACACCTGTAAAGACCCTATCTCCAAATACCATGACATTTTGAAGTACAGGGGTTAGGATTTCAGCATATCAATGGGGAGGGGGCACAATTCAGCCTGTAACAGGGGCTAATAATACAGTGAATATGATTTTATTCAATTTTTCAAAAAAGCTTTGACAAGATTTTTACATTGAAGACTCTATTTAAAGAAGTAAACCAAGGAATTGAGAGTACCAGTTTGTTAAATCAATGAACAAGTGAACAAATGAACTGGTCAATATATGATAAAGTAACTTAGGTTAGAGGTAAGAAACAATGAGTAGAACTAAAAGGACACTTTTCTAAAAGAAGAAGATAAGGTTTGGTGTTAAGACTTAATTTTTTTTTAAATAAAGTATAGTTGGTTTACAGTGTTGTTTCAGGTGTACAGCTAAGTCACTCAGATATATATATATGTGTGTGTATATATGTATATATAAAATCTTTTTCAGATTCTTTTCCATTATAGGTTATTACAAGACATTCAATATAGTTCCCTGTGCTATACAGTAGGTCCTTGTTATTTATAAGACTAATCTTAAATTCTTAGAAAAGATAGAAGGGAGTACAGAGCAAAATATCCATACTTAAAAGTGTTTCTGATTTCTTCTAGGTAATGAAAAATCAAAATGTAGGGCTAAACTTAAAAGATCGTTTCAGGTTGTATATAAGACAAAATTTTTTAAATGAATTTCATGTGAGTAAGTAGAAGGTATTTATTTTTAGGTCAGTGATTCTGAATGGGGGTGGAGGGTGGCAGGAAAGAATGCCTTCCAGGGATGAGCATATCACAACTGGGGTAGGTGGGGGGTGGAGGCAGTGCTTTTTCAAATTATACTTTGTGAGACTTTTTCTGTCACTGCCATCACTCTACCCTGAGAAACACTGCTGTAAGCACCACTGATTGAAGAGAGTATGTTAAAAATGTCCTCATTTGATAAGAAATGATTCAAACTACACTTACATGATCCTGGTCTCTAAGCTATCTAACATGACCCAGGAAAGGGACCCTAGTTGACATTATGTTAACCATGTCCTAAAGACCTTAAACCAATATGCTGCTGTGACCAGACAGGCTATATAATGTTGGGCGATCTGAACATTAATTAACACTGGGCCAGACACACAGTATCATAAAATCATCTGCATCTGCCCTTTGAAGAAGTATCACAGAAATCTGAAACCTGTCTCCCACAATGAAGAACCAGTGGTTGTATACATTAGGAAACTAGGTCCAGAGAGTTAAAATGACTTGTATAAAGACACCGAAATATTTATTGGTGGGTCTAGGCACTAGGTCTCCTAAATTCCAGTCTAATACTGTTTTTTTTTTTTGCGGAACGCGGGCCTCTCACTGCTGTGGCCTCTCCCGTTGCAGAGCACAGGCTCCGGACGCGCAGGCTCAGCGGCCACGGCTCACGGGCCCAGCCGCTCCGCGGCATGTGGGATCCTCCCGGACTGGGGCATGAACCCCCGTCCCCCGTGTCGGCAGGTGGACTCCCAACCACTGCGCCACCAGGGAAGCCCCAATCTAATACTCTTAACTACTATTTTAGAAGCCATTGATTCCCATTTCTAGTATTCAGTATTGTTTTTTTGTTGTTTTTGGGTTTTTTTTAATTATTTATTTTTTGGCGTGTTGGGTCTTTGTTGCTGTGCGCAGGCTTTCTCTAGTTGCAGTGAGCGGGGGCTACTCTTTGTTGTGGTGCGCAGGCTTCTCATTGTCGTGGCTTCTGTTGTTGTGGAGCATGGGCTCTAGGTGCACAGGCTTCAGTAGTTGTGGCACGTGGGCTCAGTAGTTGTGGCTTGTGGGCTCTAGATTGCAGGCTCAGTAGTTGTGGTGCACGGGCTTAGTTGCTCCGCGGCATGTGGGATCTTCCCGGGCCAGGGCTCGAACCTGTGTCCCTCGCATTGGCAGGCAGACTCTTAACCACTGCGCCACCAGGGAAGCCCCCAGTATTGGTTTTTATCCAGTGTGGCAGTTCTGGTCATTACAACTTTAAAAATATGTAATAAAGCCTAAAAAGTCTCTAAAGATAAACAAGTGAGATAATCAAAAGGATCAAGGATACATTCATTTATTTATTTATATCTCAACTTCATTCTAAAAGGCTTACAAAGATGGAGATAATCTAGTAAGATGTAAAAAAAAAAAAAAAGGACTAAAACAGAAAAATGAGAAGAGAATAAGGAAAGTAAAGGTCAAAAAGGAAGATGATGGAACCAAGAACGTGGCTAGCATACAAAACATAACATGAGGTCCTAAACACTTGCTGGAAGTGGGCCACAAACTGGGGTCTAAGTGGTCTAGCATCAATATGAAAAGAAAAATAGAGTCAGTTGAATATTTACTGTCTTTAAGGTAAAAACCAACCAGCAATTCAGGAAAAGAATAACTGGGTTCAGAGAAAATTTCTTCCATGCATCCTTATATAGAACATTATGAATTATAATGATAAACATGCTTTGCAGTATCCACAGCAATTAAATTTCATAGGGATTTTCATATGGATTGCCAAAGTACAATTCAGAAAAAGCAGTTCTGCAGAGGCCAGCTATGTACAGGGCATATCTGGCTTAATCCAGGGACAAAATTAATAAATAGTACTCAGAATACTTCCCAGACTCTCTTTGGTTTGGAAAGAGAGATCAGATATAACTGAAGAATAAAGAAAATGAAACTTTTAAGAAGTTGGTTTAAGAAAAATGAAAAGAAGTCACAAAGGCCAGAAATGTATACAGATTTAAGGTCCAGGTGATTTTCCTAAAGGAAAAGGTTCTTGAGTTACATCTCTGATCTTAAATCTCAAAGTTGATATCATGCCTCTTAACCCCTTGGTTTGCCCATCACCAACTGAAACCTGGGCTGTCTAGGGAAGTGATCAGTTTAAGAATCCTTGTGTCCTTCAAAGAGGTTTTGTTTTGGAAAAAATGTGTATAGCTATTCCAATTACCCCCTAGAGAAGACATTTAACCCACCCATGTTTCATTTCTTATTCTCTTCCTCACAGTAGGCTATTAGATTCACTTTTTAAATTTTTAAAAGTTAGACTGACTTTGAGCCCCCAGATCATATGTTTTACCTGCATATTTAGGGGTTGAAACAAATACCAGCTTTTGAGAACTCTGAAAAACATTCATACTGCTTCTGACAAGCCTATTAAACACATAAATAGCAGCACCTTGGGAACCCATGAAGTGCTGTTATTGCTCACAAAAGGAAACATGGCACAGAAACAAGGAGAAGGAAAAGTGGAATAAACTTCTGGCTAAAAACTGCAGGGTATAAACACTGGAGAAATGAAACAAAGGAAAAGGTCCACACTCTGATCTGAGATGTTGAATTGAGAGATGGGTTGTATGATGGGGTAAGGACTAGGGCATTGTGACTACCAACCGCAGAATGCCCAGTGTGAATTCTGGTCCAACACCTAGAGGAACAGAATGATAAGAGGCTACAAAGTAAAAACAAACTGAATCATCAAGGTGGTCACACTGAATTGGCAGCAGAGGAGGTCCTCAGGTTCCCAGATGAGCCCCAACTACAGTAGAGGAACTCAAGCCAGGCTGGGGTGCACCAGGAAGGACTCCAGATTACAGTCAAAGTCCTTGAAGAACATGGACTCCGATGATGGACTGGGCTGGGTAGCTTGTGTCTCCATGACAAAGTTCACTGGATGCTTCTGTAGGAGCTCTGGGTCAAAGGCCACACCCCGAAAGAAAGGGTGGACCTGGAAGTGATGCAAATAACGTAGACGGTGGAGGGGATTCTGGCATAATAGCTGAAGAGAAATAGGGCATGAAGGATGAGAGACTGGGATAGGAAAGGGACTGAACAGAGAAGCTGGAAAAGGAGAAAGAAGTTCATGGATCTGTGGAGGGCAGGGAGAAGAACCCAAAAGAGTAGAGGATATGTAAAAGTGGGAGAAACAGGCTAATCTGGGGGCAAAGGTAGGAATAAAGTAGTAGTAGTGGTAAGAGAGCAGCACTAGCCCACTCTCTCAGAAGTGACCTGCTATGGACGGGGACGAGCTTTGGAGGACCAGGAACTCGAATAAAATTTGAAGTGTTGGTTAGAAGGCAAGTAGTGAGGTAGTACTCGATCGAGTTGGAATCCCCCCTTAACAATTAATCAGAGGAATGGGGAGGTATCACTTCAGGGATAGGGA